TTCTAAGGCCCCTCGGATAATATTTGCTGGGCAAATAGAACATTTCTGAGACTCACACAGCAGCTCTCTCAGACAAACCCCAGGCTTGAAGAACTCAAGAAATATTTTTGTTTGGTTTTGGCTCCCAGGTGCTAACAGCTGTGAGCATATCTCTGTCCCCACCATGGATCACCGCTTATCAGCAGCTGCACACCTTGGGGACTGAAAGTATAATTGGTAAGGCTCAAGATCCATTGCCTTCAGAATCATAGCAGCTCGTGTGTGTGTAATATACACACTCATATTTCTGTCTTTTAGTAAGAGAAACCTTGGCTCAAGAGGCTACTGTCCATGTACCTGAGAGGTGGATGGGTTTCTTTGCAGTCTTTCTGGGGCTGTAGGCCACGTGAAGTAGAGCCCAGGATGGTATGAGTTCTTGCAGACATTTCAGCTTCAGGAGAACAAGATGTCAGGCTCCTTTGTAGAGCCAGCAAACCATCCACATCTTCCAGCATCTCTCTGCTTGAAGTGACTTTTTCTTCCTGGAAATTTCTTTTTGTCTTACAGACACTCGAGGAGGCAGGGTGCAGGAGAGTGGAGCTCAGAGGGGCTGCCCACACCTGCTGAGTCACTCATAATGGCTTCTCGGATGTCATTTTCTTGCTAAGACATTAGGAAAATTTTCTGCTCCTGAATCACAAGCAAACACTGTAATTCAACAATCTTCTTCAGTTATTCAAGGAACTTCAACGAATCCGATCAGGGGTGGGTGACATCTATGAGTCTTCTGAGTGCTGGATAAATTTCATTTGCCAAGTGGGAGTCGGGGGAGTTCTGTGTGACCCCTGGGGAACAGCTCCTGGGGCGGGGGGAAGTCTGGAAGTGGCTGATTGGGGGCTTCGTGTGACACTGCTCTTTTCTTATCTTGTGGGCTCCATTCCCATAATAGACCCCAGAGTCATCCCGGAAAAGGCTTGCTACAGCCATCTTCTTGTGGCCTGATGACTGAGAGCCTGCAGGGGAAGGGTTTGCTGGGGAAGGGCGGACTGCCCCTGTTTAGGAATCCCAGTGTCTCTGCTTTGTGTCCCACCTTGCATGCTAAACAGGGCCACCCCTCCTGCCCTCTGTGCCCCCAGAGCAGCGTCAGGTGAAACTTTGCCCCTGAACTCAGTTGTTGCTTAACCTGCCCTTGCCATATCCATTCCCCAGGGGGCCAGAGAATGACTTTGTCATTCATCACGGAGGCCCACTCTTCCTCACTAACCACAGTTCAGGGCGAAGGGGTCACTTTCAGACCCACAAGAGATCAGACCTGAGAGTGACAGGGTGTTCTCTGGGGACGCTGCTCACCTGCATCTTGAACAGGATGCTTCCATTGGTCTGACAAGTTGCCCTCTGTTCCTCAGTTGACTGGCAGTCAAAAGTTCTCTCCTGAGAGAACAGATATTCTCATAAGCTAGGAGCTGAGAGACTACGGTCTCCGTTTCCTAAGTTTTATGTGAGTATTCCCATCCCTGCCAGTGTAACTCAGTGTTCCATGCACCTGAGTATCAGGGATGACTGGGAGGCTGTGTCCACATGTGGTATCCATTCAGACAGCTGTATCTGGTCCTTCATGGAGCTTCAGACACCTCTGAGGTGTGGAGGTCGGTCATATCGCTAACTTCTCCAAAGAGACTTGTGTCTTTGAGACTGTTAATCCATTTTTTTGCAGATGAAGATATTCTCAGCCGGGGAGAAGATGGGCCCCTCTCAGGGGCAGCCCTGGGAGCCTGCCAGTCCTCTCCTGCCCAGCATCTACCTCCACCCCAGCTTTCCTGCAGCCAGCATCCAAAGTTGAGCACTGGGTCGAGACTGAGTAAACACAGTTGATGATACAGGAATCAAAGCAAACAAGGCCTCTTTTTTTGCCAACTGCCCCATTAACAGAAAAGCCTTTTAAGGGCCCATCTGGAAGCCAGGCTTTCCCCTCCCTAAGCAAACTGAGATGACCAGGAGGAATGTACTCAAGTGAGGGCAGCTCTGGGGGCACCCAAGCGAACTGGATCCTGGTCACACTGTGAAGAATGAACACAGGGAGATCAAAAAGGGTCGTTGGAGCCAGCCCTGAGGTCCACACAGCAAGGCAGCATGCAGCTACACGGGCCCCTTTCAAGATTTCTACGCAGAGGTGGGGGCTACCACTGACATGGCTTCCCATAATAGCTCACTGTGGCCGTTCCCCTCCCAGGTGAGCCCAATGGCCCAGTCTCTTGGAACACTTTTTACTTTCAACTTAGACCACCTTTCAGGGGGAAGAGGAAGGCGTTCTTGAGCATGGTGTCCCTACCCACCATTACAGGGGCACTCTCTTGAAAGAACCCATTATGGGCTTGCAGGAAACCTGGGCTCTGAGTCGGGCTGCACAGACTCACCCTGCTGCTGGTGAGCTCTTAACAGACACTGCTGGGACTCTGTTGTGTATCAGGCACTTAAGGGTCTCAAAGCCGATGTTGTCTGACACCTTGGACTGCTGGCTGGGAGGGAAGGCATACATCTGAGTAATTAGCAAACAGCTGCCTGTGACCGCTGCCCACTTCTGTGTTCTAATCCTGATGATGTGAGGGGCTTTGAGGGCCCGACAGATGCCTCTCAGCCACCAGGGTTCCCAAAAGCCATCAAGAATGAAATAAGAGGGAGGCTAATAAGAATGTGCTGGCTTCTGAATGGATGCTATGTGCACTTATTAGATAATTATCTTACAGATTGATTTTGTAAATCAGAGGAGGAGGCACACGTCGCAGTGCACACAGAAGACGGAGGACAGTTTGTGGGCGTTGGCTCTCTCCTACCATACGAGGCCCTGGGAGTTGAGTTCATGTTGCCGAGCTTGGTGGAAGGCACTTTTACCTGCTCATCCATCTTCCTGGCTCTTATTTCATACTTTGAGACAGAATCTCTCTATGTAGCCCATGGTGGTCAGCTCTAACTTGTGGCAATCCTCCTGTCCCAGCTTCGCCAGATGACAGGATGGCATGTGTACACCGACACATCAAACATTCGTGTATCATATTTTTCTTCCCTTTTCATGTGTGTGCATATGAGGATGCATGTGCCTCCGGGGTATATGCCTGTTTCCTGTGTGTGATTGCACATGTGTTTGTGCATGTGGATACCTGATTTTAATACCAGGAATCTTTCTCGATTCTTCCACCTTATCCTTTGAGACAAGGTCTCTTAATCAAACCCAGAGCTTTCCAGTCCCGCTAGTCTCGCTAGCCAGTTTGCTCTGGGGATCTCCTATCTTCCTTCCAAGGCTGGAATTACAAATGGGTTTCCACACACACCTGGAACTTTCCATGAGTTCTGGGGATCTGCTCCTCTGTGTACACAGCTCTCTAACTGCTTAGCTACCTCCTGAGTTTTACACGTTCTTCTCATCCTTGCTGTCAGTAGTTGGGACAAGGACATCTGAGAATCATGTGATCATTCAGACCTCTGAAGTAGGTTCCAAGGCTACAGAAAGGAAACTCCCGCTGACTTTGTAGAGAGGCCCCTGTTTGGTGACATCTTGGCAGATGTGTTCAGTGCCCGTTGCACGTTGTCTCTTCTGTAGTTCTGTTCGGTAGCCAGTGGCCAGCCTCACAGTGTTCTCCAGTGGGATATCCCCTACTACGCATGGACCACCACACCAAAGACAGAGCTAAGACTGGATGCATATGTGATATTCCATTCAGTATTCACAGTCTGCATTTGGATTTGTTAACAATGTCAAGTTCATCCATTACACACACACACACACACACACACACACACACACATTATATAATAGATAGTATATACTATACTATATTGTATTATATAATAGATAGTATATACTATTATAGATATAGATGATATAGATATATATACACACACATTATATAATAGATAGTATATACTATACTATATTGTATTATATAATAGATAGTATATACTAATATATATATATACATATATACACACACACACACGTGTTTTATATATAAAAAAGGAAGAGAGTCGTTTGGTGGAGGTGTGGTATGGTGTAGGGGAAGGGGGTGCCTCTCGGGGCACATCCTGAGGTATCTCTTTCCCCTGAGGGACCAGGTATATCACTCGATGGTATAGTATAGAATAGAGTTTATTTAGGGCATGGGGAAGGGAGTTGAAAAGGTAAGGGAGAGAGAGAGAGAAAGAGAGAGAGAGAGAGGAGTAAGAGGAGCAGAAGCTGGCCATGAGCATGTGTGTGGGAGGTGGGGAATGGGGAAAGAGGGGAAAGAGGATAAGGGGCAAGAGCTAGAGGAGAAGAAGGCAAGAGAGAGAGGAGGGGGCAAGCAGCCCCTTTTATACTGAGTCAGGCACACCTGGCTGTTGCCAGGTAACTGTGGGGCGGAGCCTAGACAAAATGCCAACAGCTATTCTTTAATTTCTATTTTATTGTGTGTGTGTGTCTGTGTGTCTCTTTGTGTGTCTGTGTGTCTGTGTCTGCCACACAGCACGTGTGGAGATCAGAAGACTTTGGAGGAGTCAGTTCTCTCCACTATGTGGGGTTTCAGGGATTGGACTCAGACCATTGGGTTTGGTGGCAGGTGCCTTTACCTGATGAACCGTCTAGTCAGGCCAGTACTTGTTTTTACTATTAAAGTTTGTAACTTAAGAAGGAAAACTGTCCAGCCACATTCCTGAGGCTTGAGGCTGGCTCCCAAATTGCTCTGCAGGCAACGTGGCCGAAGACTGCAAGGGAAGCCATGGATAGGCAAAATGGTGACTTGGATAGGGAAATCCCTTTTGGGTGGATTCCAGCTGCTCCATTCAGCCATAACCCATGGATATCACCCATAACTCGTGGCTGTCAGTGACACCACCATAGCTCAGAGGCTGTTGAGACCACGTCTGTGAGAGGGGCCAGCTGGGTTCCGCCACACAGAGGAAGCCTTCATATCTAGGAAATGACTGAGCACAGCTCAGGAGAGAAAAGCACCCCCTCTTACCCTGACTGAGGGAAGCAGGGGAGGCCTGGGGTGGGGCCCTCAGCCAGACACTCCCTTGGGCCAATTGGGAGAGCAGCTGGGTGGGCTGGTCCCACCAAGACCATGAAACTGTGCCCAGCTCACACTGGTGACCCAGGCTCTTCCAGACTCTGTGACCTAACTGACCCTTGGGTTCAAGGCTAGGATGAGGGAAATCGTGCATGTTCAGATTGGCCAGTGTGGTAACCAGATCGGAGCGAAGGTAAGTCAGAGCAGAGCAAAACTGCCTGCCGCCAGATCAGAGGGAAGGTGGTCAGAGCGGAGCAAAACTGCCTGCTGCCAAACCAACCTATGCTCAGGTTCCTGGCAGGAACCTGGGCCTCTCAGGTTTGCAAATGCTTGCTAAATGGATGGTTTATTAAGGAAGGTCTTTTAGCAAAACCATTAGAGTTAGAGTGTTAATTAATATTAATTTCATCTGTAATTACACATGTAAATAGGTAAATACTATAGGAGCCCGGCTTGCTTTTAGTGTGTTAAGAAATGACCTTTCCACATCTAAAACCAGTCATTTGTTTCAAGAGTTTTCTGAAGCTTTGGGGGACTTTTAAAAATTTAAATTGTGTTTATTATATTTGTGTAAGTGTGACTATGTATGTTTGTGGTGGTGGTGGTGGTGGTGTATGCAGGTGTGGTGTCCCAGCACGCATTTGGAAGTCAGAGGACAATTGTCCCAGGTGGTCCCTTCCTTCCCCGTGGCTCCCTGAGGTCCAGCTCAGCTCGGTAGGTTTGATGGCAAGCTTCTTTACCTTGTGGACCATCTGCAAAGCAAGGCTTTAAAATGGTTTCCTTAATTTGAATTATTTTTTGGGAGGGTGGGTGCAGGCTGTGAACTTATGACAATCAGTGTACAGCCTGCTGGAGCCTGCTGGAGCTGCTTCTCTCTTCCCATTATAGAGAATTGAACTCAGGTCCTGGAGCTTGGTGGCAAGGTCCTTTACCCTGCCGGGCCATCTCGCCAGCCTTACTGAAAGGTTTTTCTGTTTGTTTGTTTTTGTTTGTTTGCCTTTAATACTATATCCTGTATTGTCTTCCGCTCCCAAATGTTCCTGTAAAAATGATTTTACACATGTTTATATTGATTGGATCCACCTGTACTACCGACTTCCTAGCATTTGACCTAGACACTCTCTAATACATCGATTTCCTCCTCCTCCTCTTCTTCCTCCTCCTCCTCTCTCTCTGTCTCTCTGTTTCTCTCCATCTCTGACTCTGTCTCTCTCTCATTGTCTCTGTGTCTCCCTGTGTTTGTCTGTCTCTGTCTCTGTCTGTCTGTCTGTCTGTCTGTCTCTCTCTCTCTCTCACACACACACACACACACACACACACACACACACACGTTTATAACCCACCGAGTCCCCTCAGGTGCTGCCTGCTGGACTATATGGCTTGAGCGGGTACAGGCAGCCACAGACTCTGTGAATTAGTGAGTGCCATGGTGAGCCCATGTCCAGAAGACATTTCCCTGCAATCCTCCCTGTCCTCTGCCTCCTGCATTCTTTCTGGCCCATCTTCCTCACTGTCCTGTGAGCCATGGTGGGTGAGGTGGAGTCCATGCTTATGGTAGAAAGAAACTTAGTGTGCAATAGAAAATGAAAGAGACAAATACAGAGACAAGTAGTTAAAACACTCTGGTATCTACATGACTTCTCCTCTCTACGCTACCTTCCTCCTGCTACAATTCTGAGGGAGGCTCTTGACTCTTTCCCCTGGGCAAATCCAGGAAGGCAAGGGCTGGAAGCCAGGATCTCCATTCCTAATTTTAAAATCAACAATGGATTTGTAGCATCTATAAAGAGAGCTCACTGTGCTAGTTGGAAATTATTTTTAATGTGTGTGAATTGTGTTTAAAAACACCACCATTAAAGACCTTCATTTCTTTATAGCAGTATCACTAACAATAGTCAAAAGGTGGGACCAGGGGCCAGCGAGATGGCTCAGTGGGTAAAGATACTTGCTGCCAAGCCTTACGACCTGAGTGTGACCCTCAAGACCCAGATGGTAAAAGGGAACTGACTCCTACAAGCTATACTCTGAGCCTCACTTGTGTGCTGTGGCACGTGTATGCTCTCCACCCACAAAATAAATACATGAATACATGTACAAAGCACATCTTAAAGGCAGGGAAACCCCGAATGTCTACAGGTCTTCACCTGATGTACAAATATATGAACACAGTGTGTTCTATTTATTAATTCCATTAAACATCGTGCAGCTTTAAAAAGAAAGATAAAATTAAAAGCTTTTAGGCGTGGTGAAATGTATGTCTATAAAGTTTTTCTTGTCGTTTTTTTCGCATGCAAATTCAGTAGTATTGAGTATGTTGTAGAACCGCCCCCACCCCATCAAAAATACCTTTCAACTTATATACTGCAAACTCTGCCCTGTTAAACAACTGCATCTGTCTCTCCCCACCTTCCCTGACAGCCACCATTCCATCTCAGGTCTTTGTGCTCTCCCTTCCATGGGCCTTGAGAGGATCCATGTGCTAGAGGGTCAGGGTCCCCTCTATCCCCTCCATTTTGCATTGGGCAGTGGCTTGCTCTGTATGTGAACCACCATGTAGTGTTTGACCCGGGCTGGACGCTGGCCTCTTCTACTGTAGGGAACGCAGCTGGGAAATCCTGAGGGCTTTTCAATTCTCCTCATTTCACTTGTCTGCATTTACATCTTTATTCAGATCTGTGTCGTATCTTGAGCATGTCCCTCCGCACCAAATCCCTAGTACCCCTTTGTTCCTCTACTTTCATCTTGTGTATGCATACATTATTTTATATGACTGTATAAACCTAAACGAGGGAAAACATGATATTTGTCTTTCGGAGTCTGGCTCGGTCGGTCCTCTTAATCTCCAGTTTCGACTATTTTCCAGAAAGTGACAAAACTTGGTTCTTCTTTGAGGCTGAAGGAAATCCCACTGTGTGTAGCCATATTTCCTTTTTTTTTTTTTTTTTTTTTTTTTTTTTTTGCGAGAAGGGTTTTCTCTGTATAGCCCTGGCTGTCCTGGAACTCACTC